TCCTGAACTTGATTGATCGAGGCTTAAGAACGAATAGTATGCCTTCATAATCACAGAATAATAACATAATATTAGAGACCGGGGTAAACTCTGAACAAAATCATCTGTATGGATCCGTCTCATTAGTTTTAACCACCAGTTAGATTTAATAATTATAATATTAACCCTGGACAATTAATACAACCCCATTTAGTATCAAGCCAAGTAGAGGCTTTTTAATGTTAAAAATATCTTCTAAAGATCGTCCTCCCGCCAGAAGATTGATGAGAGGGTATGTGGAATTCTTACCAAAAAAAAAAACCGCACGGTATATCGTGTAGGTATGTACGACCGCCATTGCAGGTGTAACGTTAAGCTACAGTCTGGATTATAGGTACTAAACAATTGAAATAAATATTTAAATACATATTTTTTTGTTTCAAAACACCCGTAACAATGTTAACAATTAATTCTAATAAAATAAAACAAACAATTCATAAGAATTATGAATACAAATGTTTCCCGTCTGCATTGCGCTATCAGTATATATAGCTGGGATGAATGACGAAGATGAATGTAGGTCACTTTACCCTTCGAAATTCATTTTAGTTTCTTGCCAGGTCCTCTCAATTTAATCTGCATACTAAACTGGACGGTAGGGGGAAATATTAATATAAAAATAAGAAAAATATTCACACAAACTACTTGATGTTTAGAAGAGGTTATATATTTATTGACCTGAATAAATTTTTGTTTTTTGTTTTGATTTGATTTCACCAAATAATTGTTCCGATGTCAGGATTTGAAAACGCTTAACATAACGCAATAATCTGTTAAGACGCGAGAATATAACAAACAAACTAACCATAGCATTTATGGCGTCTCATATTTAATAATACAAACCACAATGACCATAGTAAAAAAGATTTCTATGTAGAGAAAACAAATATTTTCGCGAATTTACAATGAGCAAAGCCTTGAGAAAAATCTACTATACGAAGTCAAGTTTACAACCCTGGTGTGGCCTCGTGGCATGCAATGGAATGTTGCAGTATTACATTCATGTTTTATACATAACAATGAATGATAATGGCATCATTCTTTCTAGTTTTGCACAAGGTCTTACTTCCGGTGATCGCGGGTTCAATTCTGTCACGACACAAATAATTATATTCATGATGATGTTTGTATTGTTTGTGTTTTCTATGAATGTTATGTATGTATTTACAAATATATATTGGTATTTCTATCAGTTGTTTAGTACCCATAACACAAGCTCTACATATCTTGGGATGACACGACTTTGGTATTAATGAATATGATTTGTATCGGTCTTAGTGATTTCTATATAGGTATTTGATTTGCTAATTGTCATGCTGCACTACCGGTACTGCACCAATATACTGATAGGCAGATGCACCATTCCGTACTTTATTTGTCTACAACGACTATTTGCCATCAAGTGGTTTGATTTCCACAGGAAACTGGATAAGGCATGATATTCCATGCAAAACGTAAGGGCATAATCCAATTGTATTAATTTTTTTTGTTTTGTTTTTTTATTTCATAAGCGATTAAAATGTCTTCTTCAAATAAATGGTTTTGAGTTTAGTTTTAAATACAAGCAAAGCTGCGAAATGCCTCTAGTATTGTAATAATTAATCAGAATGGCACATAATCAATAATGAACTGTTTCAATGTTCATTTGTTAATACATTTTTTCAAAGTGCCAGTAATCGCACCCTCTTTTTCCCAAGACTCCTGGTCGCCCCTTGACCGTGCTTACGTCACGCGATAGGTCATTGAACCTGCGGTCACGTGAAAGCCTGTCTGAAATTTTGGTCCGAGTTTTACCACAATATAGCAGCTACATAACAATGCAAGTTACGCCATATCATTTTATGGGTAATTAATTTTTAGAATCTTTTAAGCTCTTATATTATACTCGATATTTTTTTTTTTGGAGTAACATTTTCATAATCTGGGTTTTTCTTAATGCACTATAAGTATAAACTATGCATTTTAGCGGAATTATGCTTTTCATCTAGAATTTATCATTGTTAGATTGCGGAGATAATGCGATTCTTTATGTGGAAACTGATCAATGAATATTTTGACTGTGGCCTCATCGTTAACTGAATCATAAAAAAATCCTTTACAGCTTCACCGGACGAAAGGGGGCGAGTGCAGATGGCATTCCACATCCGCGGAAGGACTTATAAAGTGGCTGAAGTCCAACTTCCGCCTGATGGATACGACTTTAGTCTGAGGGCACCGCTAGGGATACAAACCTCGGCTCAGGCCGTCATAATTTCGATCTCCTTTTGAATTGGACAGGGGATTGATCGGAAGGAATTTTACTCATGTACAGGTGCTGTTTGTAGGGACTGATCCACTCTCATCACTACGACTATTTTTGACATATGTTTATTTTGTTACCTAAGTGACTATTTATTTAATAATTTTTTCAAGTGAATTAGTATTTTTAGTAGTTATTTGTAGTATATTATAGTATTACTAGCTATTTGGTAATTTTTGTAAATTAATGTGTATATCTTGGCTCACTCATTATATTGGCTGAATTTGCATTCCAAATGAGAGCCAGCATAGGAATACTATTCAAAAATACTTAATTTTTTTTTGACAGAAGATTAAATATTTATATATTTATTATAACTCAAATTGTTTACAGTATATGTATCATATCATCATAAGTGTCTATAGGTCTAGCGGTTTAGCACGCCGCTTTACTTCTGATGGTCGCGGGTTCAATTGCTCGCACGGTGCAAACATTTGTATTCATGAGTATCTTCAGCTACTAGTTGTCTAGTACCCATAGCACAAGCTCTCCTTACCTTGGAACTATATGGCGCTGTGTTAATAGTCCAGGGTTATTTATTTATTATTTCATCGGTATACTTACTACCAAGGTACTACAATAAATAAATTAATTAAGTCATCACATATATATATCACTACAATGATGAGGTGATATCATTATGCTACATTTGTATAGTACAATCCACTGTTTTGTTATTTTTGTTACTTAAAAAAATCAGTTATCAACAATACAAAATGAATATCTAGCTATAGACAATCTTAGTACGAGAAGGGACTTCATGTAATGAATAGTTAATGATAAAGAAACCAGGCCGTATAAACATCTGACAAAAATACCTTTATGAAACTCTACCTTAAATTTTTAATTGGTCGACCTACATTGGCATCAAGTAAAAGATAATTTTAGTTATTATTTCACGCTTTCATTAGGGCAACGTTTTGTTATATATTTTAAAACATATAATAATTATAATAACCATAGACAATCTACTCAGCACCGTCTAGTCCCAAGTTGAGCAGAGCTTATGGTATAGGTACTATATCAGTGATAGAAATATATACATACTATACGTAGGAAACAACCAGACCAATACAAACAATTGTTTTAGTTTGGCATCTTTCATCTGGCTGACTGGCATCTTCCATTGGTACCCTTCCAGCGTAAACCGTTAGCACAGACAGGTGTATTCATTTACCATACATAAAAAAATAGCAATCTGCACGACCCAATTACTGAAAAGTGGTAATAGCCTATTCCAATCATGTACTGTCATTCATTACGATAAATTTTAAGAAATTATAGAAAATTATTGTCTTTCTTAAATTAAAATTATAACATTGTATAGTTTATTGTTATATATTTTATAAATTCATGTTATTTGTTGACAATAAATTTCTTTTCTTTCTTCCTTTCAATATTTTAAAATTAGGAAATAATGACATACTTATTAAATGTAGATTAAAACCATCTTTTAAAAAAATACACTATCGTTATGTAGAATACGATACATCTAGTATCCAATTAAAAGAAATAGTTTAAAGTATTCGAATACATCATCTTAATATCCATAATACTAAAGAGTATATTGTGCAATCTTTTATAATCTATGGTTTTGTTCAAATTCTTTACAGCATACAAAATTATAAATTATACAAAGTATATCTACACCTTTGACATTAGCATATTTTTAGTAGCAATTCAGTGTATTCAGTGTATTTCAATAGAGTCATTGTCATTTACATTTTTTAAACATGACATCCATCTTTCCTGTGCTTGGCAGGTTAGCCGGATATACACGATAAAAAAAAAGTTTGTGAATTTAGAAATATAGTGATTGAGAATGGTTTATCGTGCTCTGTACAATGCAGAGTGCAGCGCAGCGCGGCCGATACCGCGCCTTGATTTATATGATCGCGACATTTATTCGTATTTCTTACCGTATTCGGTAACTACATGCGTCAAGTTGGCATACCCAGTTATTTTTTTTGTACATATATAAATTAAAATTTATAAATCTATTTTATATATATAAAATGTATATTTAAACCTAAAAACATGAGGAGTTTTGATGATGACATGTTATGACAATTCCAAAGATATATATGAGCATATTATGTAATTTGGTTTTAATATTATTTATGGCACTGATTATTTATTAATTAACCGTAATACTTGTTAAATTTATATTATAACATTAATTCATTTTTTATAAAATAAAGGTTATGTGAAGACGTCACGATCTTGCAAGTTGCAAATAACCAGAAATAAATTATCAAATATCTACATTAAAATAAACTCTTTCTTCTTCTATTTAGTTTAGTCCGAGTATAAGAGTCTAGTCATCTGTTTTCGATACAGAGGATAACGCCCTAAAGTCAAAAACAATTGAATTCATTGAAATTAAATAGAAATGTGGTCTTTCTTTTATCTGACCGCAAATGGTCGTACGAGAATATAGTGTAAAGTAAATTCTTATTACAGGTAGTACCATCTCGAGCTATTTTTCCTCTTAACTCATAACTCGTAGTCAGTTCTCATCGCCGGCCCGCTGCTGCTACGCGTCTACACTGGCGCTACGCCGTAGTTAATTCGCTACGGCACTTTACAAAACTACCCGTTATTTATAGCATGTTTAGAAAAACAATTTTGTTTTTTCTTTAAAATAAATATAATAAATTTAAAATATATTACATTGATTCTTATTAAAAAATGAGGAATTCAGTTTGTACACGGGAATTCGATGGAATGCGGTGAGTTGCTTGTATTTTTTATAGTCTCGCAAAAGGTTTTATTGCTCGGAAATTACTGAGGTTTTGTGATTTATCTACATTTTTCGTATCGTGTAATCTGTTTATCGTGAAACTTATATTGTTTTATTGCTGTTATTAATTTAGAAAATCAACTTAGAAATTTATTTCTTCTTAATTTATATCTTATATTTTATTTTTATTATATTTTTTGGCTTAATATTTTACTAAAAATAGACGTCTGAACAAAAAATGTAAAGCGGAAACGGCTCTCTTATGATATGGTTATGGCCGGCCATCTGTTTATCTTATTTGTATATTTAAAACATTACTAAAGTTAGTGGTATGAAAATTGACAAATAATTGGTTTAAATATTATTTATTTATTTTAGGAAGATAGTTTAATAAAATAAATTTATAACGCGTAAAAATTGTATTTGCTGTTTCAAATAGGTAAATTGCTTTTATCTTAATCTGATCAACTTATTTTAATTATTTCATTTAAAGGTAACTATGTTGTGGATGATGATGATGATGATGGAATGTTGTCATCTGCGCGAACGGTTTACGCTTTCAGCGTACCAGTTTTATGTATGATAATGGAATGATAACGCTGGCGGGGTACCAGTGCAGGGTGATAAGATGAGCATGAGGTCAGGTCAGTTAGTCCATCGTAAGAAATTCACCAATGATTTATCACGATGGTTTCCAGGGGTACCGCGTGGAAGTCAACCTGACATGGTACATTGCTAGCAATAAGATTATCAGTCCATATTACTAACCATCCCCATTCCCCCCCGGCGTACCAGTGGATGATAGGATAAAGATAGAGTCAGATTAGTTAGACCTTTGTGGCCAATTTATTAGCAATGAAACAGTTGCCAGTAGGATCAGAATTATCAGCATTCCCTTATCCTAAAAATGGCTATAGTGATTATCAGTGTGCAACCATGTTGCTTATTTTATTTAACTTTTTATAAAATTAGAAAATAATTCTGTATCTCTAATTTTTTAGGAATTTTGGAATGATTAATTGTTTGTGATGGTAATTCAATACTTCATAGTAAATATAATTCCTTGCATTATTTGAACGCGTATTTTTTATTACATAGTTCTTGAAAATATAAATATAAAATTTCCAAAGTTACGTGAATAATCTTAGATAACTAGTTGATAATAAAATATGTAAATGTTGCCGAAAAATAAAATTATGTTTTTGACGTTATTGAGTATCTAATCATCATAAATCCTTCACGTAAAATCACGATTTTGTTCACATTAATGTTTAACATATGTTTGTTACATGTATATCTCAGAATATTTAAAGTAGCCGTGATTTTCTTTTTTTATATAATGAATTATAAACCTGGACAATTCATCTACTACCATCTAGTCTCTAAAGCTAAGCAGGGCTTGTCTTATGGATACTAGACAACTGATAGAAATATGTAAGTACATTTATTTTGCATAAAATAATAAATATATACATAAGATACATAGAAAACATCCTACAGACTAATGCAAACACTCATACTTAAGAATACTAATGTTTGCATCGTGCCAGGAATTGAACCTGAGAACATCGGCAGTAAACCAGTGTGTTAAAGCGCAAGACCTGTTAGGCAAATAAGCTGACAGTTCACCTGATAGTAATCATCGTCCTATATAAAAGAATGGAGCCTCTACATACCATTGTGAAAAACTAAGCCATCATACATTTAATTAAAAATTACAGTATTAATAATAATACTGTAATTAGTAATTATATTTGTGTATTTTAATAGTGTGTAGTATTATCGATTACTATTTTTGTTTACTTAATCCGACATACTTTTAAAGTGGTTCATAATATATAATTATTAAATTGCCATTATTGAACTGATAAAGCTTTGAACGCGTCAATTTCCTTTCGGAATACATTTGGCTGTGGTTGATAAATTAAAAAAGGATTGGATGTCAACCAGATTCGACATTACGTCTAATGATCAATCATCAATAGAATGATAAATCTAATGACAAGTCAATCCAAGTCGAGTTTACAAACCTCAATACAATAATTAGACATAATTAAACAAATGTATAATAAATAAACAGGTTTTTGTTGAACGAAGAAGTGCAAGTTTGTCCAACAAACATATTTATTGATTAGTAATTTGTGATATCGCCGCAAATCGGTGCGGGCACGCGACATTCGCTCAGTCAATATTTATGTTGACATATTTGTTTCATCGACTCCCCGGAGTTGACTCCAAACAGGGCCCGCGTACACAGAAAGTTCCAGGAAGTGGTAATTGCAATACTGTGTGCAATACAAAATATATATTATTAATTAAATATTATATAAAATGTAATAATATATATTTTAATAAAAAAAACTGTTACAGGACAAAAATCAAATCAAAATATCTTTAATCATGTAGGTCTATTACAGACTGTCAAATCTACCGTCAGTTTGAAGCGTGGCATCTTAGTTCTCAGGAATGGCAAAACATGAATGGATTACGGATGTCACATGATCTCCGTATATAGGTGACAGTTACCGTCGCCTATATATATGGTAGCTTGTTTGTCATTCTAGTTACATAAAAAAAATATAAAAAATAATTTGTTAAATAAATTATCTTAAAAATCCATTAGTGCTATTTTTGGTATCAATTATATTACTATCCAATGTATATTATATTAGTGAAAATATTATAGTATCCTCGCTAAATCATTGACTTTCTGCACAAGACAAGATTCTGGCCTCTATCGCATATTATGGTGGTCACTATATAATTGAATTTAAAATTAGATAGATCTGTATTATAATAATCTGTATTATAACTGTAAACGTCACTAACTATAGCGCAGTGTTTTTAGAGCATTTCTCAATCAATGTATATATTTATTACTTATATGATGTCGACACTATTGTTAATACATAATTTTAATAGATTGGTTAGGGTTTCCAAAATAAGAGTTCACGCAGTTCTTAAATATCAGAACATCTATGTGTAATTTGCTAAATATACAAAATTATTACAGCAACATTTAAGATGATGAAATAATTTTGTAATACGTATAGACGTATTTTTGGCAGTACAGTATAAGTTCTTTATATATAAAATTCTCGTGTCACAATATTAATTACCATACTCCTTCGAAATGGTTTGACCGATTTTTATGACATTTTATATTCACATTCAGTAGGTCTGAGAATCGGCTACTATTTATTTCATTCTGTCATACCCCTAAATGACAACTGTTGTCCACCCCTAACAGTTATTTTTTATTTTCTGGACAAGTTTTTTTATAATGTGGCATTAAAAATACATACAACCATTAATTTTCACTCTTCTATCAGAGACCCCTATTTTTTTTAATAGCAATTTTAATTTATTTGGCAAAACAACGTTGGTGGGGCAGCTAGTATTGATATAAAATCTGTTTACTTTAATTAGTATCTGTTATATCATATAGGTGTATATTTCACGATGTCCATGTTTCAATGCAATATTTAAAATTCGAAACCACAAACAAGTTTAAAACTTTGAAGTGCCTTTTTTCGTCGCTGTCTTGCTGCATACGTTTTAAATATGTATTTTGTTTTTATTTGCGGCTGTCTATTCCTGGCAGCACGCACAGTAAGGCACGGCAGACAGTTTTCCCCTTTTTTTCATGATAAAATTGCTTAATAAGTATCTATTTGGGATTCAGTACGGGGTAATATTGCTTGTGGAATTTTCCGCGGGACAAAGACCCTGTCGTGATGAGTTTTTATTTTTTATTTTGTCTATGGATTCATTTATGGTTACAGCGGATTAACATTGTGGATTCGTGATTATTGTGCACGCCTTTCAATATTGCCTCAACGATGTCGTACCATACCACGGTCCGCCATAATTTATTTATTTCGAGCAAATAAATGTTTTATATATTTATCTTATATACTTATCTATCAAAGATTTATTAGTATGTAATTCTAGTCAACACGTTCATTCGTCAAAATCAATTATATTTTTTATTTAGGCTAATGTCATAGTTGACGACTTCGGTAATCTAGAGGTAATCACACCGCCTTACTTCCGATGGTTGCGGGTTCGATTCCTCGTGCGGTACAAACATTTGTATTCATGGGTATGTATTGTTTGTATCGGTCTGGGTGTTTTATGTGTATGTGTATTGTACGTAGCTATGTAATATATGTATTTATATCAGTTGTCTACTACCCATAACAAAAGCTCTACGTAACTTTGGACTAGATAGCGCTGTCTGAATTATTCTATGATATTTATATATATAAACAAATTATTGTTTAGCCACAGCTTGTTCGCCATACCAAATACAAAAAATATATTAGATATAAATTAAGATGTACCTCATTTCTCTGTAATTTATATACACGTTAAATATTTTTTAAGACTTAGGTAAAATTGTGGGTCTATCCTTTCTACCACTACCCAACAACTGCTTTCTGTCTTTACCTAAGTAGAGAATGCCATATGCCATATGTGCAATAAAATATTAAATAAATTAAAATTTTTTTTTTTTTTAACTTTTTTGCACCAGTTACAGAAAATATTAATTACTATAAAAATATATAACAATGACGAGTACAAAATTTGTCTTAAGCAATTCTTACAGGCAACCTTTAGGTAGACAGTGAAAATATAAGAAAAAGAGTAGGTGGTACAAATGACAACACAACTAAGATGGGTATAAATAATACATGCAAATATACATAAATATATATAGACATACATATGTACATAAACTTAATAATACACATATCCATGGAAAGTTTGAAGGAAAGAAAGGGTCTATAAGAAAAGGAAAAGTAGAACGTAAAATGAGTTTTTACTGATGCTTTAAAGCTAGCAAGAGATTGAGCGCGCCGAGCGGGAATGTTCCACAACCTAACAGCCTGGACAGAAAATGATTTTGAATGAAATGATTGGGAAATCTAAGACGGAGATTGTTTATGATTGTTTATAAAATAAATAATTTATGGTCTTTGTAAA